GCATTTCGGAAAGAAATGGCAAAGTTGTTACTAATTTCGCTTATTTTCTTTACAGTACTCTCAAATGCATTTATAATTATACCATCTACTGAATTTTTAACCCTCCCCGTTATTTCGTTCTTGATACGCCATAGATTGCGCGTGTTATTTTTATTGTTTTTAATATCTTTGATTTGTTTATTTTTTGCACCAAGTATTAACTTATTTGCATAATTTCTCGCTCCACCACTGTAAATATATTTTGTCTCGAAAGTCACAAGCATTTAAGATTTTTTTGTTTATCCATTTATTTTTCACATTTTTAAAGTTATCCGTATATTTTATTTTAGATTTTTCATAACATGACTTGATATTATTCATTAACATTGAATACAGCTTATTTGGACATAGTGTATAGTTTAAGAGTTCCCAGTTTATTTCCTGTATATGTGTTGAAAGTTTATTTTGGTTGTATTTAATCTTAAACTTTTGAACGTCCCGTACCTATACGCGGCGTGCCGATGCAAGCGAGCACCACCGTGTCGCTCGGTAGTCGGCCAATTTCGTTCCGTATTGGTTACTCATTAAGTCACAATTTGTTAGCTGTGTACTACTTGTAATGTATAACTTTCTTTTGTTTCTTTGTTTGCTAAAACTTAAAAAAAAAAAATTTCAAATCATCATGCGGAATATTATTAGTAGGCAAATAAGAACACATGATTAGTATGTGTGGGTTTGTTTTTGCAAATCATTATGCATAACCATTTTTAAATATAGTTTAGGTTTTTATTAATATAGGCAAATTTAGGTTAGGTAGTAAATAGGCAAAGAAAAGCCAAATTGCGCAAAATAAACAACAATCCACCATATTGCTTGTTCGATATCCAAATAAATAAAAAGTAAACAATAATAACAACAATGCTGGTCTCAAAGTAGGAAAAGAACAGAACAGAACACCCAACACCAATATAGAAAAGGTTATCTCATTCACAAGGAAATCAAATTTTCTGGTACAGAGATGGTCGAATTACATCATTTTGTTCTACATTACACATTGCCTTTTTAGAACGATTTCGTTAAGATCTTTAAATTGATAACAATGTAATTGGGGCTTTAAAAATTGTGTGCTTAAAAATTATGTTCGATGTAATGCAGCCTTGCGCGAGAGCGACATAAGGCGCGAGATACTGCTATTCTCGCATAGAGAGCCCGCGCTTTATGTCGCTATCGCACAAGTCGCGCCCTGTCGTGTAAGCCCTACAGGGTGGCCATATTGCATTTTTGACATAAAAGTGTACCCTACGAGACATCAGAAATTCGATTCTAACGTTTACTCATATACGAAAATACAATATAGTTTCATACATATTATATATTAAATGTTACCCTCCTTGAGTGCGGTATACGAAAAACACCTCATACACTATCAAATATTACTGACAATGTTATTTGGATTATGATCTACCTGAAAAATATAGAAAAAGAAAGAAATACATTGCAAAAGATTTCATAAAATTTTGTTACCTCTACCTCGTCCCTCGTAGTGCATTTTACTTTAAAAAAATATTTATATAACTAGACACTACCACTGAACTAATTTTAATAATCTGTGACTGTATTTATCCCGCAATAACTTCCTGGCCTGGGTTTCCTCTAAAAAGAACAAATGTCAGGCAAAGGAATCAGTCCTGACAATGGAACTTAAAATCATGTTTATGAATTAAGCACTTTTTGTGTTCATACCTATACTCTAGCCAAATTAGAAATAGAATAAAATGTCAACAAACAAAGACATATTATTTTTAGGGTTTTCACCTCAGACTGTTTTACAGTTGCCACAATTTCAATATTTTCCCCGAAATTCGATTAGACATCGATAATACTAATCTTGAAATCATGACTGTGGTAAATTTTGTTCAATATAAGTTTAAAATCACTAGTGAGTGATTTGAAAACATTACCTTTAATTAATTATTTATAAAACTGTGTCAAATGATTTTTTGATTTGAAAGGAGAGATTGCAAACATTCGAGCTCTTGTAGTCAATTCAAGTTCAGAATCGGAAATTGGCGCTGGATGAGGTATGTAATAAATGAATATAAAATAAAATCTTATAATTTTGTTTCTTTTCACCTACCACAACTTACTATCTTGCAGTAAGTATTAATAGGTATCAAAAACTTAATTACGTTAATATGTTCTTTGCAAACTCTATAATATTACTTCTACATATCCCAAGTATCTACTTACCTATTTAAATTCCAATTACGCGAGCAGTCCGGTCGCAAAAATAAGACTAAATAATGAGCATTGAAAACAAAATGTTCTCTACGCCTGCCGTCATTGATTGCCTAGCAGCGTTTTGTTACTAAACATTATAATATATGGAATTGGCTAGAGTATAGTAGAATACAAATTTCTAGTATCGCAATGATAACGATATAATTTAAGTTTGTCTCACAATTGTATCCAAATTCGTGAACCGAATAAGAAAACCTGCAATGAAATCGAAACGTTGATTTGTTTGAAAAAACATAGGGGTTTTATATCCGAAAAAGAAAATCCTTTCCAAGACTAAGAATGTTAGGCATAGTCCACTACAATAGGAGTTGGGGCTTTTAAAAGGCAACGTCACCGACGACGTAAATAACAGTGCCCAGCAGTATAACAGACACGACTTTAAAGGCTAATTATCTACGGTTTTTAGCAGCAGTGCAGCTCGTTGTGAAAGAGTTCGCCCAGGGAAGTACTGCCACCTTACCTATTTCTGCCGCCAAGCAGTAATGTTTGGATTACTGCTTTCCAGTTTGAAAGGGTAACGGTGCTGGTGAAATTACAGGCACATTGTACTTGTCAACTTAAGTCTCAGGGTGACGGGCGCAGTGGCAGTACTCCTCAGATCTTTGCGATTTAAAGCTCTGAGTGGCTCTGAAACTGTAACTTGTACCTTTGTAACACGTAACTTACTATCAGGCTCAAGACTCATTCGTCTCGTCAAAAAAAAATATATATCGTTTCAAATCGTACCCTTTTTAGGTAAACTACATAACCATATCCTTCCGGGAGAATTTCCCGTACAATACACGAAACAATACATCACTAATACTTATTGATAAATAAATCTGGTATTTACATAGGGTATTTAACTCATTAGCATTAAAAATGATAATAAATTTATTACCAGCCCCCATAGCATGGCTACGCATGACAGTCGCGACACGCGCGATAAAATTAAAATAAGCGCTCGCTATTGGCTGTCTCAATCAGATCTAATATATTTCAATTTTATTAATATTTCTAATATAATAATTAATAATTAATAATTCTAATATATTTATCATGCGTAGCCATGCTACTGAGGCAGATGTGAAAATATAATTAAACTAGTTTCACGTATTCCAAAATCAAGAGTTATAAGCGAAAATTGTTTATGACGTCGCAAAAAAAACTTGAAAGCGACGTAGCATCTCTACATCACTGGCTTTCCCTAATATCACTTTGTTATGGGGAGAACACCGCCACATCTCGAGAATATCAATTCTGTATATCAAAAAAATTTTTTTAAACCTATTGACGAGAACTTTTCTTCTCAAATACAAAACTCCAACTACCACAAGGTTTTGTTTATGGGTGTAAACATTTGTTTTCAATGCGTATCCACAAAAGTTGTAAAACAAAAATTGTTTACAGAAAAACACTCCACTTTAAAAATCACTTTTACTGCGTCTTCGAATCACGTGTATTATTAATTGCCACATGCTTTAGAATGCACGCAGCATGAAAAGGGTCTCCCGCGCGGACTGTCTCATTCATTATAGACTGGATGTCTCCCACAAATAATAGCAATGACCAGTTCAAAATGATATCCCGACGCGTTCGCGTGAACTTGACAACAATATTGCCAAGAAACCTGCATGTCATGTGCATATGTGACGTCCCCAACCCACATTGGACCTGTGTGTTAATCATGGCCTTAACACTCTTTCTTATAGCCAGTCTACACGCGAGTATACTTGCGAAAGCAAAAATATATGTACTGTATAAAGGAAAATGGTATTATTTCCACCGGACTCCAAGAGAAAACCCGTGCGCAACAGTGGGATATATACAGACCGAAACACTAAAACCACAACAAATAATCTAAAAGGTTAATTTGTCCTTCTTAACAGCTGCTAAGCGAACACACTGCCAAATGAGCAACACAAGCTTGAATTAAATTGTAATATTATTATACGAACAAAGAAATTGGAATTATGCCAAATGCCGAGTAGGAAGGCACTAAACGTTGAGTTTAAGACGAAAGTTATACTGTGGCCGATGTTACGTGATCTTCGACAGTTGGGTGAGAACAATTTTATTCTTGTAACGACCTGTTTTCGGTGACTTAGATGTTGACAGTCGCGGGTTTGATTCGCATTTAAACCAAAACTTTCTCATTCGCACTTCCTTTCGCTCTGTTATAAGAATTGCGAAAGGTCACCGTACACTGGTTCTTACTTAGCAAAGTTTCCTTTGTGAATCTTTTGCGGTGTACAAAAATAAACGAGCGTGTGCGCAACGTAAAATTCAAGTCAACGAACGTATGAAAAACATATGGAAATGTTTTTCTTTGTCCCCCTTTCGTATTCTTAGAATATTTTTGTTTGTGCCTTGCGTCATTATTTTGGGGAAATCTCTTTGTTATATATAGATTTCAGTAACTTTCTTGTTTATTTTTCTTAATGTAATTTGCCCTACAAAAGAGAAATAATTCTTTGGCCATGTGGTGACGATAATGGCCATATGATTTTGGGGGGCTACTCTCGATCTCCGTCCGATATCCGTCTGAAACAATTACTGTCAAATAAGTAATATTCGACAAAATTAAAAGACAAGTATACAGTATGAAGCTTCATTCGCATTACGCGTCTTTTCATTTGGTCAAGTATTGCTTATTTGGCAGTAATTGTTTCGAACGGATGTCGGACGGAGATCGAAAGTAGACCCCCTGATTGGATGACGATGCAATAAATTGTAAATACCTTCAATAACGTATTCGTCAAATTTGACAGTGCCTTCTGTTTCCAACCGGACTGGGGGCCGAAATTTCTCTAGCAGTATTCTAACAGCGCCTTCTCGACCATGTCTCGCCGCTGCGATTAGAGGTGTACACTTTACTCCGTCGCTGTAAACATCCTGAAAAACAAGAGCAACAATGTTCCTTAACTTGCTAAGGAAACAAATATACGGGGTACCTAATGGTGAGTAGCATCAAAGGAGTCACTGATTCCTTAAATTTACAGTGCTCAGAGAAAACCTTGACCCACAGATCATTCAACAGTTAAGTTAGCACGAATATTGCACAATGTTACAAAGGACGGAACATAAGAAAATATTTGTTTACCTTCTTAAAGCAGGCCAAAACCACACAAATCTATGGACACATAGTGTACACATACATAGATCTGCACACTTTTTCAAACCTGCAGAGTTCGGTCAATCTGTATGTTATATACAATTAAGAGTTTTGTGATAAACTCTTGGACCTCAAATTTTGCAATTAACAAAATTCTGTTGAACCATTTATTATTATTATTGCTACATCGTTAAATATAAAGATAAATTTCGCAAATATATTTAAGGACAAATACTTTATATATATATGATATATTTATATATACATATATATGAAACACATGTGTTAATTAAATTATCTAAATTTATATTCATGGGTATTTAAACCTAATAATTATATCTATACTAACTGTGCATGTATATATCATATATTATTATGTTATACTATCAAGAATGTAATCAAGGCATGTTTGTAAAGATAATTTTATCATTATTACTATTTTACCAATACCTAAAACCTTTTTTTTTTCTTGTTTACAGAGGTGATATGATACCAATTTTAGGTAAAACCGAAATATAATAAGTTAATTTCTCAATAAATAACTGCTTGTTCTTGTTTTTTTTATTTTGTCTTGTATATGTATAATAAAGAACTCCTTTATTGACAGATCTCCAGGAATCATAATTTTTTGTACCTTGACCTATTCAAAATACAGTCCATAAAACAAAACTTACACATAAATTAATAATAAACATACATCATGTTTACGTACAAAAGTGTGGCTATAATTAGCACCAGTAGAAGTTCACTGGCATGTCATTTACCTCTCACATGATGCAGCTTTTGAGAGATTTAATTTTTAAGTTATTTATTATTTGTGGCGAAACACGATCTTAACATATTTAAGTATATCATTACTTTAAATATAGTCTTTATCGAAAGACCAAATAAGGACTAAATTACCCTATCTATTACTCCTAACTAGTCAACAAGCTTTTTGTCTCTGAACTCTCTTTCTCTTACTTTATCAGTTAGTTTCAGGAACCCCTACCAATGGAATCCCTAGTGTTCACAATATCCAAATGACAAACATAAAAGATGTATATAGACATTGACCTACCAATAAATGGACGTCGGATTCGCGCTAAAAAGTGTCCGCACCTGTAGGGCGTTAAAATCGCATACAGAGCGTCAATAGCGCAATAGTCTTCGTTGGTTCGACTGACAGCGCGGTTGTCAATCATGCAGTACAAATAATAACTTGTTAAAATTACTGCAGTAAAGTGTGAAAACAGGCTTTTGTATCATATTTTCAATAAACAAATATATTGTGTTATCACAGTTGTCATTTAAAAGTGTTATTTTGTACAGTTTTATAGTATTTAATTTATGTATAACTGAATCGTAAATATAAATTACAAAAGCACATGAAATAATGGAATAGCTAACTGTCCTTTTTCTACTCATTGCATGCACAAAAGATGGAAAGAGACCCATTACGTCAGTTTCAAGAAGCTTATATAAACTTCTTGGTTATTTTCAATTGTTCGGACCACAAGCGATTGAAATATTTAGAACAAAGAAACTGTAGAGTTGCTTTGATTTTAATCCTATTTTTAAAATGATTAATTTATTAAACGTTAGGAATAACGAACAAAATATTATTGTACTCGTTTTACGGCATGGGATTACCTATCAGAAGTCAGAAAATACATTTGCCCGAAATAACATTAGCTTGAATTTTCATAATATGTTTTTACAAAGATTACAAAACAAAAGCTAATTTTGTCTATGTAAAAAGCATCAAAATTACTGGAAAGAGTAACGGTTTCGTTATAAATCGGAATTACGGATATTTGAGTTTACGTTTAGTTAGAATATAATGTGCCGACACATTTCTTATAGTACACGCTTATTTTCACATTTGTAGTAATAATTGTATGTATGTTCTGCCCAACTCTTTCAACTTCAACTTTTGTATCCATCGTTTTGCGCGACGATTTCGGCAACGTCAGGGTTGAAAGACATGTAGAGCGGTGGCGAGATAGAATGCCGGTTATTAAAATACTTCGGCGATTATTATACACATTGACGGATATATATATATATGTGTGTGTGTGTGTGTGTGTATATATATATATATAAATTTAATGACATTACAAAAATATAATTTGAGGGCTATGTTATTTTCTTACTTTATTATACGTTTAAGTGAATTTGTACAAATTTCGACATAATAATATAATTAATATTTACTACTAAAAAAATTAATTAATATTTACGAGAAAGGCTATTCCATTACTCTTGTGTTCAAGTAATTTTCAGTTTAACTGCCTCTGTGGCAGAACGGTTACCATGCCGGACTGCCACGCAGAGGTCCCAGGTTCGATTCCCGGGCCGGGAGAAATATTTGTATGACCTACATTTATTTCTCTCGTGAGTTTGGGTGTAATTTGTGGTTGTCTATGTGTGTGTCCATGGCACCCGCGACACAGGGTTTCCCTAGTGCGGGACTATGTTGAGTGTGTGCGTTATTGTTATTATTATTATAGTTGAAGCTAAATATGGTGCATTTTGTTAAGTTTCCAGTAAAAGCTGAATATGGTGTTTTTGGGCCCTTAAATTTGTGTAAGCAAATTTAGGCAGTACTGCAATGATGTTACAATTTAAATTATATGTTTTAGTTTTTTATATTTTGTTGCATGTTACTATGGTTGTATAGGTTAACCTCGGACATTTTTTTTGGTGGTTTTTGTATAAGACCCGATGTCCATTTGTTGGTAGGTCAATGTATATAGACTACAGAGAAAATTAAAGTACTTAAAACATATTTTTTTCTTAATGTATTTATTACTAAATCTTTTATTCTTTATTTAATGCACTATTTCTTTAACCATACGTCATAGCTCAGTGGGACAATGACTGCTTCTCATATGAGGGAATGACGTTCATGAATATTTTTAACCTCTCACAAATGGTAAGGGATAACATCATAACGAAACCTGCACATCAAAGCTTGTGAAGACCTAAATCTGCATTTGCAAGGTCTTCTCTTTTAGTGGGGCATATAATGGATTGATGATGATACAACGCATAATAAACATCTTGTATACATGCCTAATAAAATTATTGATATCTCTATCAACAATTTACAAATTGAGAGGTATCGTAACTAAACTACCTAAACCACATTTAAGATTATGCATTATCATTAGCAAAAACCAACACCTGCTAACCATTCTGTACCTATTTACCAACTGATAATATGAAAGGTATGACTTTATGTACCTAGTTATTATATAAGCATTATATACTCTACAGTATATTAACGATTCATGTGACCTAATACACATTTATAAATCACTAGTAATGCTTGAGCATTACTTTTTGATTAATTTACTTAAATAAATTAATACTTAAATTTAATTAAATACATTAATTACTGATAATTTGATGGAATAATTAAGTTCTTATAACACTGCCATAACATCATAACATGTTCTTTATAAATTAATGTGCAATTTAAGCTTTATTAATGTAGTATATATTGACAAAGTTTAATAGAAAAATATTGGACAATTTCTGTAGACACCGAGTAAGAAAATTTAAGCCTTATTTCTCTGCATGAATCCATTTCAGTACATACATTTGTACCATTTAAAAAAAAATTAAGTTATGGTGAAAAAATAGAAATAATGTCCTTGACTCAATTGCTTATGGGCAGGTGTCAAGAAAATTAAGAAGAAAAGTTGAATGAATGACTATTCCTCATAACAATGAGCGGGTTACTCATCCCAGCTTGTAGACAACTCTAATAAGATACCTCTCTAATTAAACTAAACATTGGTCTGAATCCAACAAGGTCAACTCCATGATAACGGCGTAAATTCGCTCACGACTCACAAAAAACAATTAATAAAGCACACGCATGCCTGTTTGACGCGCAAAAACCAGAAGGAACTCTGATACGACTGATAAAAATAGAAAATATAGTATGACTTAAATTACACATGACACCACTACAAACACATAAGATTTTCAACGTTTCTTACGATGTAAATAATGAGATATGCCTAAATACATACAGTGTTTAAAAGCTCGTCAATCTCATCTGTGTTTTTCTCATATAACAAAGCGTAAAGAGTAAGGGACATTCCATCTCTTGCTGCGAAAAACATCCTCTCTCTCAAGGTATTCGAGGCATCTTCCAAAGCTAGCTTGTCCTCCATTGTCCATTAAATATTTTTAACACAAGTTTTATATAATTTACCACAACACCAACTTCACTTCCCGATATTTGTTTATAAATTGACAAAATTTTTTGAATGACTGCTGAAAATCTGCTTTCTCGAGATTAAAAAAAAACCAGAATCAAAATCGATTTCATTTCATTTGACAGAGAAACACTCGGTTGTTTTGGTCGTGTTTTTAAAAGCTTTAGCCACAAAAATCTATTGCACTCTTTTTGACATTTCAAGCATTCACATCTTTTCTTTCCTTAGGAATTTCTCACTCGATAAAAAAATCAAATCGATATTATTTTGCACCACTAGTGATGATCTTTTAAAAAATCGTAAACCTGGGGATATGGGGATGGAGATAGAGGAACTACTCAAAGGAACTAAAAAGTCTTAGTAGACGAATATTATTACGAATTTTTTACTAAAACCAAATAAAAATAAATTGTCTTTTTTAATTCGAATTAAATAAAACTTAGTGATATGAAATATACAATTATGGAACTTGCAACGGAATGCATCTAAAAAGTATGGCCACGTTTTGTCCAAGTGGAACAATTCGGCCAATAGGAAACTTTCTCGTCTCTCTCTCTCTCTCATAGTTTTTTTTTGTTACAAATTTTGACGTGTAACTTGCCTGTCGCTTTGGTTGTATTTACAAAAAATATTTGAGTTAGAAATCACCAACTCTTATTAGTTTGTGGAAATCACAAAATAAATATTGTATTGAGCATCATGTCGAGCGGACAATGGGAAGTTGTTGGCAAAAATAAGAAATCTCAAAATGGGAAGTTAAAACAGGACGACAAGAAGCCGCCTAAAAGCGGGCCAAAACTTGAAGACGTCGGTAAGTTCACAGTTTTACGTAGTTATTTTTAATAATTTCTTATCATACTGTGTTTATTTGCGGATATAATTTGACACAAGAATATGTTTATTTCATAAATGTCCCTTAATAAACATCCAAGAAATTTACCGTGTAAACAGCTGGTATGTACAATGATGCTGGTCCATATTTTATAGCTTTTCTGTTAAATAGGTATTGAGGAACCCCAGCTTACAAAGTTAACTTACTTAATGCAAGTCTTAAGTTTACAATTTCCAATACCAGATTTTATGAAAAGATAACACTGGTTATAGGTTAGCAAATTAACTAAAGAAGGTATTCAGGACTTAATTTGAATAAGCAAATTTGCGTTTTACTAACACTTAGTGTGTAGAAAGTGACTGAACCTTTTGCCATTAGTATCTGAACATAATCCTTAGTACCTATTTAAATTAACTGCAATTCATTACTATATATTGCTAAATAAAAGTATACAGTAACATATAATGTATAATATAGTTATTTTAAAGACATCATTTTATTTCTATTTTCAGTGCCTCATTCCCAAATAAAATCTTTCTATTCTGGTATGGAGATTGATGATGATAGGAAACCAGCAAAAGGGAAGAATGGTGATAAAAAAGGAAAGAAACAGGAGAAAAAAGAGCCATCCAAGCCCAAGCCTCCTAAAACTATTGAGGGTGCATTTGAATTGGTAAATCTTTTTTATAATTTCTACTGTAAGTTTTGCATTTTGTAGAAGGTGAACTGTACTGATAGTGTTGTTTTGTCACTCTTTATTTATAAAATTGAGATAAGTATTTATTTATAAAATAATATCATTGTTATGCAGTATATTGATAAGATAGTGAAAGTTTTGTAATGCATTGAGCATTACAAAATTTTAACACAAAAGCATCTGTACATTTATATAATTAACTGTCTTTCCATTCCATTTTGAAAAAAAATATAAATAGCATTTTCTGTTAAATTATACTTTGGTATTGTGGTGTGTGATATGTTGATCAGTCTAACAACAAAAAAATCATTATTATTATGTTATTACATTAATTTCTTTACTAGTAAAATGTTATCAATGTCTGAATTGTGCTGCATTCAACTGTTACACTTGAATGCTAAAATGTCTTCAATATTTATTTAACATTTCAGATTGACGCTACAGAGCTGGCAACAATAATAACAACAAATAAAATCCGTTTTTCCAATGCACCATTAGTTTGGCTAAAAGAAGTTGCCAATTTTCTCAACTCCAAAACCCAAATAGAAGTTGATGATCCTACTTTCTCTCAGCATCCTACTTTATACCCTTTATCAGTTGTTCCAGAGGATATAAAGACTTCTCTGGAAAATGTTTTTCAAGATGCTGGAAAATCAAATGCTCAATTGTTTTTCGACATCACACTGACTGCTTTAGCCAATGATATGAGCAGAGGTATGTAATATAACTTCATCTCTATAAATCTACAGTAGATGCGACAGATTGACGTAATTTTAACGAGGTCTTCTTCAAATTGTAATTAAACTTTTAAAATTGAATTATGTTTCCCTTCATTTTAGAAGGTTTTAATATTTAAAATATGCTGCAACAAACATTTTTTATTAATGCTTTGGTACTGTCAAGAACACGTCAAAGTTAAAACACTTTAACAAGAACTATGACCTGAGATTAATTTGTTTCTTTCTGCTCATAAGTAGTTATTCTATAAAATATGTTTTAATTAAACAAGTGTTTAATTTTATTAACAGAACTGATACTGTTTTTCTTGTATGCCAACCGATGGCCTTTTGAGATGAAATTTTATGTAAACAAACTGCAATATGGATATAAAAATATTTGCATCGAGTACAAAAATCACTTTAGATTTCTCAACTTTTGACATTGTATACAACAAAATATAATATGAATATCTTGACTCTACATTGATAAAAAGAGCACCTTTGGGGCACTCAGATATCGTCTATTATCTGTTAGCAGCAGTGCAAGTGACCTCTTTTAAATTTCTTTCGTCATTTTGCTTTCATATTGACAAATCATAAAAAAATTATTATATTTTTTTCATTAAATTGAGCTATGTCTAAGATATTTCTTGTGAAAGGCATTACGCCATTATTGTTATCTAATATTTGTTATAGCTTGAATGCTAACAAACCCAGATGTCATTATTTTCTTTACCCGTTAATAACTATCATAACAAACACAGACACTGGCACAATTAGCAGAACAAAATAAAAGTAAGAATAGAAAACAGTAATATTTATATTGAACTAAACAAGAATTAGACATACAATAGCAATTAAATCGATATGTTTTGACATCGAGTTAGTCCTATCTTTTTAAACCTTTATTTCAATAAAATATAAATTCGGCGAAACGCATTTATTGCAGCAGTTTAAAAATTTTAAAATTGTCACTGTTTAACATTGATTAAACCAAACTTTAATAATTAAAATCATTTTCGGCTAAAGTTTACAAGAATACAAAATCAACCTTGAACCACTCGATACACCTGTATTAGTCGGAAATTAAAACAAATGTATGAAAAGAATGACAGTCAACAAACTTTTTATTTTCTAAAATAAAAAAAGTTAGTCTACTTTCTTTACTCAACCAGAGTTTCAAAAAAATATTGCTTGATTTTGCTAGTGTTCTGCTAAATGTGCCAGTAAGTGAGTATGTGTATGATATATGGCTTTCAATAATAGTATGAGCCATCATGTATAAATCCAATCATATTTTTTTTATTTAGGTCAATCTGTGAACGGCCACAGAGTCCTGCTGCAGATTTTAGCAAAAATCTACCCCGAGTTTTGCGTGGCATCTGTGCCAAAAAGCGCAAGTTTACGTAATTCTTACCAAAACCGACCGCCTATTGGACTTACGTTGCTATGGGCGTTTGGGCAAGGTGGACTGAGCGACTTTGCTATTGGCATGAAGGGTAAGATATCTTACAGTCGATTGACATTGATCTTCATCATAACGACAGTCTGTTGATATCACAAACTCTAATCATGACACTCGAAGGTGACAATGGTCTAAGTACCCGTATCGGAAAAGGTGTTGTTCGCGTCGGCGCGGTCCGAGCGGAAGCGAAACGTATGTCTTATTAGCTGTTATTGCATGTACATAACTCTTTTACTGAGTGGCTCAAGTCGATTCCGCGTTAATAGATATGGTGACTCCTTTAGCCGCCTTTACCACAATTGTTATTGTTGACTAAACATAGTCACACACAAACGCAAGGAATAACACAAACCAAGTAGTGTTAACAGGCTCTGAATGGACAGGCAATATTTTTATTTTGTTACATAAGTTTTATTTGTTAAGGCAGTGGTAATAATAACACCTTGATTTAGAACAGAAAATTGAGCTTTCCTATCTATATGGATCCTAAAATTGTATAATTTTATTTGCAGCATGGCAGGATTTATTCCTTCCAGTAATCGAATTGAAGAATTATTCAAAATATGTGGTGCAATACTTATCGAAATTATTAGACAGGCACGCAATGGAGGCTAAGGTGACCCAGGACCAACTTCTTAATATGTTCGACCTGGTCAATAGTAAAAGGAATGGAATCCCTAAGGATCTGTCAAGTGACCTTATCAAACAATTAAATAAATATAAGGTTAGTAGTCATTGAAGATCTTGATTATTTACATGATCTTTCCACTTTTGTCTGAAAATAAAGGTGTACACTGAAATTTCGTTATCCCAAATACACGAAACTGACCTGAAGACTAACAAAGTACTTTCGTGTTTTCATTATGTAAATAAAGGCATTTTATAAATGCTTAAATTTCAGGATATATATTTTAATAAAAGCGGCAATAAACTCCAAGTTACATTCAATCAAATAATGAAGAAACTGCCAAACCAATACCTAAGTGGAATCACTCTGGACCCCTATAATCAGGTTCTTGTTGAAAGCTTGGTGGATTGCCTCGAGAGGGATGATTCCTGTAACGCTACATGGAGACAGTTGTTCCATAAGTGCAGTAAACAGTCTGCAACTGTATTAGAATATATTGGTAAGACATCCTATAGGTACAGATAATCTTAAAAAACAATATAATTATTAAATTATGTACAACTTTCAAACACATATGCCATCATTATAAATCTACCTCAGAAGTTATTTTTATTATACTAGCTGGGACACTACAAAAGTAACCACTTTTTGTTTTAATTGTATGTATAATTAAGAAAATATATAATTGTCGTTAATTGCATTTCATAAAACGTGTTCCATGTAATGAGTATTATTAAGTCATTTTAGGAATCTTTAGAACAATTTATCTGTTATATAGACAACCACTGGTCCGAAGTAAGCCCACGCCTCAAATCAAAGTCTCTGAAGGCCACTGTAGCTCAATTCAAGGAAGTTAGCGCCGACACACTAAGAGGCAAAAAGAAGGATGAAACCATTGTTAAAACCAACAAGATATGCCAGGTTTGTGAAATGTAGCCATTGACTTACAAATAAATGGACGACGGGTCTAATACAAAAACCACGAGAAAAATGTCCCAAGTCAACCTATTCGAAATTTAAATTGTTATGTCATCGCAGTATCGCGCTGTCCGTAGAACAAATGAAGACTAAAGCGGAGTGTCGCGCTCTGTATACGATTTTAGCGCCTTACAAGTGCGGACACTTTTTAGCGCGGACCCGACGTCCATATAATTGTAAGTCAATGAATGTAGCTTTATTATTTTTCCATAAGGCAGCCATTAGGCTTCGGCGAGTGTCAGTTTTTTCGATGTATGTTACTGGTTAATTCTGATCGAGAACGCCAACGATTAGGCAGCAACAAAGTATTAAAATGTCGTTCTAAAGAATCATCAAATAATTTTGATTGTTATAGTTTAAAAAAAAACCGGCCCACCGTAATTCCTAAAAACAATAACCTGTAAAATTGTAGGCTCATCCCTATTTTTGAAACCGTCAAATTTAAATGTTGCCCTAATTAATTAGAAACGTGATGCAATTTTGGAATTTTTAAAAATTCATTATCCTTCGGTTTAGAATCCGTACAATATTTTTTTAACCATCAAATGACTTCTCTCGTAAAATATATCTGGGGAAAGATAGCGACCGTTAAAAAACTCCAGTTGGACTTTGACCTCCGCCGCGTAGTAATTTTTTCGTGTACTTACGTGGCCACACTGATTATGCTAGTAGAAAACGATTATTCGACGACGGACGACATTTTTGTTGAGGACTAACAATTTTCTAAATTACGATTTCTACGACTTATTGGACGATAAACTTCAATCAACGTGAGTAAATATGTTTTAAAAAAATCGTTCAATAATACACTGAAAGATCAGGGCTGCAATAACTGTTGTTATTAATTTGAAATGAGTATTCGACGGTTCGTATTCATCTATGGGTGGTGTTTATTGAGTCGCAATTTATAGAATTTCGTATTTGTTAGTGAATGAAAGTGGAAAAACTACTTTCAGCCGAGCATACAAAACGTACACCCGAAATAACAGTAAATGCTTATGTGTTATATCCGTTACTCGGTGGGAGGCACTGGTTTACCTAACTCCGTTCACTTTTGTGTTTTTTACGAGTGACCAGGTAAATTTTCTGAAGCTATAAATCGTCCAAGAAATCCTTTTAGTTTTTCGCAGAATACTTAATATAATCAGAGGCATTTTCTTTGTTTAAAATTACAGTGACATTTTCCTTCTTAAACTCTTAACCTTTTGTTTCTAGGATGTGTGAATAACTTGTGGCTATAAATTTTTAGTTGTATCTAAGGATTTTGTTGCGCATGATTTTGCAAATAGTTGGTAATATTGCATTTTGATGTATTATATTTTATAATACGTCAAAATACGTACCTACTTTTATACATTTGTGTTAAATGTAGACATTTACTAGGTACGACAGTACTGACCACCATAAATTATTATTAGACTAAACGAAAATAGAATCGAAATTTTTCAGATTTATCAGTTTTTGTTCTGAAGCTCCTCAATAATTATTATTACTCATTAATATATTGGCAGCCGATGTCTGATGTACCTATCATGTCCGCATTGGAGTATTTACTATATGTAAACAGTGGCTAACATTATGTCTACAAACTTGATTTTTCACTTAGGGTTAATAGGTAAGATTTGATATAAATAACACACATGCAGGTCCCAATGTATATTGGGAATTCTCTACTTCATTACGTTGTTATGTCATTGCATACTGTGATTTCCTTTACTCCACACTTTCACTTGGTCCAATTACGCTATTGGAAATATGTCTCCACAAAAGGAATCTGAGGTGCAGTAAAATTGTTATATTTATGTATTCTTGTCAATTTCAGGATATTCTAGATAGGATGACGAGCACTAGAAGGTTCCCTTGGCTATGGGCCAGCTTCTTCTTGCTGGTGGCGATTTGTGGACTTGTGGCCTATGATGTCTCCAGAGTTGGTGGCAACTTCCCCAGTGAGTACTTTCTTAACATAAAAACTACACACACATATTTAGTGGCACACTAATAGACAACTCAAAATAGTTCAAGTTTTTTTTTTTCAAAAGACTGGCCTGTTATTTTACTTTGTCTGATTTCAAAACAAAAAATTAATAGGCTGTACTTTTTATTCATTTGTTTTAATTTATTAATAATACGGATTTGGCGAGCGTTTCAAGTTTGAATTTGCATACTTGTAAATTTCGACTAATAAGTTTAAAAAGTTTTTTGGTTACGAAACTAAAGTATTACAATTTTTAAAATTGTCAATTATTTCAGCTTTGTCACAAAATGTAAAAAAAATCAATTTTGTTTACTTTCGATTTTTTTTTTCCGATAATGGTTGAGTCAGGCTGTATTTAGTCGATTTTAAAAGTGTAATTGCTACTATGTCTAAATCTTAATAAATACAAACTTTTCTGCTAAATGTACTTCTGCATTTAGTCACTTTGCATTTGCAAGTTCCATGCCCCACAACGGTTGGTGGGCATTGGAGTCAGTAGCCACAACAATGTGCTGGCTGCTCTGCTCGCAGTATTTGATTAGCCGTTCCATTTCCTGTGGTGGTGGTACATTAGTCTCAGCCATATAGACAGAGGTAAGCACCACTTCAGGCAGGCCCGTGGCCGTGTCAGCTAAAAGCTTGACGGCACACAGGTCTCTGAAACAGAATTCTGTTAGTGCCTGTATATGTAAATTATTAGAGTAATATTTACAAGTTCGTGGTTTTTATGAGATGGTAGTTGATAGCAGCTTACCTCTCAGATGTGAGAGTCCATTTATTTGGCCGCAGGCACTGATCCTCGGTTCCTGGATCAGTGCCACGGCTGTGTTGTTTGCCTCCAACATTTCCGGAGTTGAACCGTTGCGGCCTGACTGTGGTGGAGGTTGCACTGGACGATTTGTACTTTACTGAGCGAGGGGGTAACCGCCATCAGTGGACAGCAAGTCCTCGTCCTCATCCTCGCTCAGTCGGATGTCTGCCATCCCCGGCACGCACTCGTCCGCAGAGACGGGGGTCAGCCAGGGCTTCTTCCTTTCTCCGGGGACACCAGAGAAGGTAGACGGCTCCGAGGAGACATACATCGGCGTTTTATTAATTCCCGCCTTCTCAGACGGCGTGTCTGTGTACAGGGGCCTTACCATGAACTCTTATATACCTTGGTCCCTTTTGGATCTGAACCTGAGGTAGACCGTGTCTAACTGAAAAGTGAAGCGCCGGTCATGCCCCAGGACAGCCGGGACCAGTTCTTCGGGGAGGCTCACCATCTCGAAGGTATGTCCACTTTGCTGCTGCAGCTTGTTGACAAACCAGAGGTGAACCTCCGCCCGTGGGTTTTGCCACTTGAGGATGCGGCCGATTTGGCGTGCATCCTCCCAGTGGCCAGGGATCATCAGTCCGCAGACCACCCTCCGGGGAGCCTCCACCCTATTTTTCAATGAGAGGGGCTCCCCGGACGGCAGCCTGATGGTGCTAATGGCGTCTTCTAGCCACTGGAATGTGGCAGTGTGGTGGCACCACAATTTCAGGGAACGGTCGCTAAAGACAGGCTTACCCCTGAATTGTGGACCGTCGTCCTCCTCGCCGCACTCCTCCGCTCCCTGGGCGAGGCGCCCACATAGGGCCTCCTGAACCTTGTCGGCATCGGGGCTCCGTATGTAGCCAGTTTTTGCACCGCACACTGGTTCTGGCTTGGTGGCCTCAGCGTACGCGCGTTGTTGGGCGGGCCTCTCAACCCTTTGCCGTTTATGCTTGCCTCTCGAAGACATTGTCTCGTCAAGTCGGGCACGTTTGGCATTGTTCGAGGGCCTCGGCGCGTTTACCGGTGTCCTCGGGCCACTCCCATCATCCACTGAGGGCCTCGCCTCACCCTCCTTCGGCCGTTGGTTGTTGGGGTTTTAAAGGCGCCCACGTTCCCTCAGACGATCTCTCTTGTTCTTGCGTGCAGGGCGTCCCCTACTCCCATTAAGGGTTGGAGGTGGTTGCTCACCGACGGCGACTTACCCCTTCCTTGCGGATGGGTGTCGTGGCCTTGAGTTTGGGTTGACGACTCACCAGGGTCCACCCTACCTCAAGAGATGTATTCGTGGGATTCTGCGATGCAGGACCCGGTGTGTTCACATGGGCCGCATAACCAGAGGTTCGGGGCACTACCGCTAATACTGTACTAACACCAGCATCGGTGCTTGGTTGACCTTGGGGTTTCCCCTTTGGCCTACCACTCACCGTAGGGCGCTGTTGTGTGTGTACCGGCTACATCCTTGGGCATTCTGTGACAACATTTTATCACAGAACGCTCAAGAACTTTGCACGCGTGGAGGTGGAAGAACTAACACTTAACTTCTTAAGTTCAACGCGTGTTTTATATGGGCTATTTGATAGCACACTTAATGCAAATATGTCTTCATTAGTAAGGTCTACTCTAAAAGAAAGCATATATTAGATTTATGCATATATAGAAAATCAGCATAATGTAAATTGTTTAGCTGTTCAATGTAACTTCACCTTGAACGAATAATTAACACAAGCTACAATGTATGGCGTGAACAAGAGGCCAGTTTCGACTTGCACTGCAAAAATTCAGTAGATAATTGCCATACTAAGACAGACAACGCAAATTGATAGATAAACTGAATAAATATATATTATCTATCTATACATTTTATAAATATATATCCGTATAATTTGCAGTTTCTACAATACAACGGTTATTATTAATTACTCGATGTTATTAATATACCAGACAAACACGTTTACCTTGACTAAAATTAAATAATTCCCTGTACCTACTATGAATAACAAAACAATGTAAACTCTTGAGTCACTACCGGGAATGGAACCCGAGAAGAGGTCTCTAGCGTTACAGTAGTGTAGAGGTCGCCAAACTTAGATGTTTTATATATATGAATACCTAAATAACTTTAAATATTTTATTACATACACTTACTAATCTTGTGGAAAATATTACATTTACATTTTCTACTATTCACTTGATCGGAATTGTTGTACAGCGGCATTTTATTAAACAAGTGAACTTAGCTATCTAACTTCGATATTGCCATAGTGGCACTCACACATGGGAATTAAATTGCACATGAAAGAAGTACAATACCTTTTCATAATATGACTTTCACAAAAATGGTTTCAACGTCGAGAATGAACGAAACGATTCAAAATACAAAATTACATCACAAAATACACATTACATAAAAAGACATATTATCAGATGAAGTTGATTATGTACTACGTTGTTTTCATAACACTGTATCTTGAACCTGATAAGCTACTTTGTATTGAATGTAACCATTATGGGACTTTTAACCTATTGGAAGTAATAAAAATCTTACTTTGATAAGAAACTCCTAATACAAATAGGAATTATGATGTTGTAGTGTGAATACTTAAATTAAAAATCTTAACTAGTAGAAAAAGGCATAGAAATGGTGCAGGTTCACATAGACATTTGCCACAGATACAATATTGTTGCAAAGAAGTTTCTAAAACGAAGATAAAATAATTTATTTGCTAGATAGATTTACATTTAACAAGATCTTATAATAATTGTCAACATTACAGTATTGAACCTATAAAGGTTTATACAACTTACACAAATCGTGAATTTAAATTGGTGAAGTCTGTTTACAATAAAAGTATTTCCACCCAACAGAAATTTTCATGTATATTATTGCATAAATATGTAAGTGGCACTGCCAGTAGTCGCAATCTGGAAGTGCCCAAAAGTTTTAGTTTGCAATAGAAAACTAGAAATTTTGTACAAAGTTTCATTCACAGCAGTTTAATTCATTTCAATGGTAGGGCAGAATCTGTTCTTTTCGTTTACATAATGTTTATGTAGCAACACCTTGAGGTTCTTGATCATTCTTCTTAGGGGAGTCTGCCTTACCAATGAAATGAGCAGTAAAGTTTAATCAATATGTAAGTGTAAATTGTTCCATGTGGAACTGAGAACATGGCACTACTGGGAATAAACGGAAATAAAGATGATTAGAGTTAGCAGAGATTTATGTCACTGGGGACAGAGTTTATAGATCAAGCGCATTAATTTTATTGCAATGAATTTGGTAGGTCAATGAATGAATATATTTAGAATAGACAGTACAGTTATAGAAGGTAGTACAGTTATCACTTTAAATAATAAAAAACCTGATCTAAAGAATGTCCATGTGGCGTAATTGCATTTTATGTCATCTTCATTGTTTGCGGGATATTATATAAACACGACATAAAATGAAATGTTACTAAATAGTATCTTTGCCACCATTGACTTACAAATAAATGGACGACGGGTCTAAAACAAAAACCACGAAAAAAATGTCCCAAGTCAACCTATTTAAACGTAGTAACATTTCAAGGAATATGAAAAAGCTAAAACGTTGAATTTAAATTGTAATGTCATCGCAGTACTGTCTAATTTTGCTTGCTTCGCTGTCAGTCGAACAAACGAAGACTAGAGCGTGAATGACGCTCTGTATAATATTTTAACGCCCTATAAGTTCGGACACTTTTAGCGCGGACCCGACGTCCATATAATTGTAAGTCAATGTTTGCCACAGATACTTTTGTAATTTAAATGAGTACTAAGAGAATACTTATGTAATATTTTTAACCGATTTCAAAAAAGGAGGAGGTTCTCAATTCGTTTTTTTGTATGTATGTTACGCGATAACTCCGGTATTTGTGAACCGATTTTCATGATTTTTTTTTTTCTTAGAAAGGGTACCTCTATAATGGTCCTATATAATTTTGAAGAAAATCATCCACCTGTAAGGGTGGCTGTTCACGCATGAAGTTTCATTTTTGTAAATAGCGCCTGAATTTTATTATAAGGAGCAATTATTTTAATGGTTGAGTTTGCTATTCTCCAATTCAAGGCGTTTTCTCTCAATATACTTTGAGTAGTGAGAACCGATTTTTATTATCTCCTGTGTCAAGTCCCGTAAAGTGGCGAACTGTGGGATGAATCCGGGTTTGCTCAATTTCCGGTAACCGATTTCAATAAAACTTGGTAATTATATGTACTTTTGAGGTCAGTTTTTTTTAGTACTCTGTACTGAGATTATTATGTTCCATGGACGATGTATCCAAAACAAAGACTGGATATCTATTCAGTATCATCCAGCTAAAGAAACTTATTCAAAAATTACTACCGCGACGAATTGAGAGTATTTTCAGTGCTTGATATATACTCAAGTCTGCTCAAATCCTGACTTGAGCATTGAATAGAGTTCTGGAATACGACCCTTAATATACCTTGAGTTATTATTTAATAACATTTTATCACTAGTTACAAGTTTCTAACCACGGTAAGACTTTACATTTTCTTGTTATTGGTTTGACTTTTTATTATTTTCCCAAAATTGACATTACTTCTTATTTCTTCTTATTTTGCTGATATTTTGGAACGGTTGCACTCTCACGGGTTGACAGTGAGTAATAAAAAGTCATATTATGTTATGAAACCTATAAGTAGTGATAATCAATTAGTGAAAAACATCAAAAGTATTAAAATCTACAATGCTATATTTCGATAAATGAGAGGCGATATCGATATCCTGCCAAAATGCCCCATTATAACAAAAAATTGTTTCACCAACAAAGTGCATAACAAAAAATTGTTTCATCCACAGAGAGTGCAACAGGAAAAGTGTTCAAAGACCTAGGTATCCTAGAGCACAGTCAACATGCCTGGCAGAAGACGTTATCCACGTCAGCCAGAGGATATCTATGGCTGGAGACGAACGCTCCAATATACTACACAAACACCATTGAGTTCTGCAAACCATATGGACAGTTATCAAAAGATGCCTTTTTGATAGCTTTGAAAAAAGCCAGTGTTCTATATGAGAATGTTAAAGATTATGTAGTTGAGAAAACTCCAGTGGTTGTCTCCACAATAGAGAGCTATGCACCAGGATTGATTGATAATGTACAGAGCTATACATCTGCTGGCATCACTGCAGTTAAGAAATACTCATATGATTACTACAGTCTTACGGCTGATTATTTGAAGACCAAAGTTTTTGTGTAAGTACCTTTTCTATCTATTTTCACCATCACGATGTTACACTCAATATGTATGATTTGCACATTGTGCTTGGTGGAAAACGTGTGGACCAAACCAGGTTATACACGTTAGGTTCGAAAAACTGGACAAGATTGATCAACCTGTACAGGTGCACTTGCATGGACAACAACATTATCCTTGGTTGGGTCCAGTGGCAGGATTTGGGGGAAGCTTTATACAAATGATGATGGAGGATGAGGCGATGATGCTGTTTTCATGTATAAAAAATATTTAATTTGTAAATTTTTAATCGTTTTTTTTATGCATGAAAATAGCTAACAAATATAAAATAATTATGTAATTCAGTATCATTTAAAGTAATATTGTAGAAATAAAGTAAATGTGGGTTACAGTACTTTCCAGCTGACAGCGTTTATGTCGTTCTAGAAACTTCAGTTCATAAACACATAGAATTTAAATAAAATTTGAGTGTCTTGGGATTTTTCAAGAAGTTAAACAGTTCCTAAAAATCCAATTCATCTTTTGTTTCAGCGGCGATTGGGCTCCAGAGGTTTTACAAAACAAAACGCAAACGGCACTCAATGCGACAAGGTTCCACGTGTCGACATACTTCCACTGGTTTAGAGAACAAGTGCACATATACTCGGAAATACCTTGAGCAAACGCTCGGGTTGTGGCATAGCACTGTAGTTTGTAATTCACTCTCAGTACTAAAATTGTTTACTCTTAACTTTCATAAGTGCGATGAGTTTTGTTTGAATTTGTTTGTGTGATGAGTTCGTTTGTACCCAAAATAATCATTTTTTGTACAATGTTTCGGAAATTAAAAACTCATTTAAAACTTAGGTAATCTGTTCCATGTCACTAAATACAGCACTTTGTTCTAAGGGTTATATTCTAGAAGAAGTAATTTTACTTTTAAATGTATGATATTTCTTTAGTTTTTTTGTCTTGTTTGTGTATGAAGTTAAACCACTTTAGTACTGAGATTTGCTTGATGTAATTGTATTTCTGTTACGTATGAAGGAATAAGTTTTAAAGCCGGTTTATTAAAAAACACCCATACAAACCTGTATTATGTACATTACACATTATGTGAATTTTAATATTATTAAGACATGTGATCATTTATTTTTTGTGTATATGTTATTGTTACTAGGTACAGCAACGAACGAACATGTAAATGTACTATTAACAGATTTGCTCAAATACGAGGGTACACAACATTTTTGTATTACTAGGGCCTAAATTTCATACATGAAATTGTCCTAATTCAAATTCATAAAAATGAATTTGGAAATAAACCAGTGAAATGCTTTATTTTAATATTTTTAACTTAGTGTATAATTATTGATATTGATTACAATACCATATGTTGACAACTTCATGGCATTCTAACTACTACTATTTTGCAGTTCTAACATTATCAGAATGCCACTCTTTTTAACTACACCATTTGTCGACTGTACTTTCTTTGTGGACTTGGATATACGTATACACAAAAAATAACAACATAATATGCGAATAAATATAGCTGATTCAAGTTTCTGCAGAAATAAATACTTCTTTTTCTTTTTTCATGTCACACAAATCATATATTTTAAGGCATAAATCATATATTCCTTCAGACGTAAAGTTATTTCGAACCTAATTTATGTACGATTCACGTGACGGAGAAACTATTTTAAATCGAGTACAATAATTCATGCATTCATACAACGAAAGAGTCGATCGGTTGTAAATATTAATGCCACATTCATAACATCATTTAATCTCTGCCGTACAATAATGTCATATCATCAAAAATTATTTAAAAGAATAATTCATGACAATTATTTATTATTAAGAAAGTATTATTTTTAACATTGAATATTTGAAATTAATTCACATTCCTGCAAGCATTTATTACTCGACATTTTTTCCCCGACTTTTGTCATGTAAATTATTTTACTTTCAAACTGTGAGATCTTAGTTTTTGAAGTATTTTTTTATTTACTAGAGTCTATAGTATCGGGTGTTTTAAGTGACTGTGTCTCGCGAAAATATCCACTTCTTTACATACGAGGTGAATGTAAAGTGGCGGCTATTGGTTGAAGCCTCTCAAATAGGTTAATGACTCCCATGCCTAGGTTCACAATCGTGTGAACAGCAGTGTCAATATCTTTACGGGAGTATCTAAGGCAGCCCTACATCCAAATCCGGCAATATTAAAAGAAACACTATTTAAGTAGCATGCTGTCATAGAGCTGAACTTTGGTTGTCAAGCATTCCATTTGTATGGAAAATAGAATATGCGTCAGGTAAAAGAAGGTATTATTTTCATACCTCGTCTCAAAAGAACAAGTTCTCTGTAAAGTGTTACATTATTATTTACGCATAATTCTATTTTATCCCCAAAACTCATGATCTGAACCAGTGTCTCGAAAATTGCTTTTTTTATTTGTTAAGACAAAGATGACCTTTATTCGGTTTTATCAACTCGAATCAACTTCAAAATTATGAATATATATCCTTTAAAATGCCAAAATAATTGTCCCTGTTTTTACATTTTAACTAAGTATCAATTACTTACCAAAAATATCATGAAACAGTGAGTTTACAATCGTGTGTATTATATTGTATCAAGAGTTAAAACAAATTAGCATTTTGTGTGCATGCGTTAGTTATTCTTATGTTTAGATGTGTGCGAGCACACAATATACATTTTACTCGTTTCATAAAACTGATTTTTTAAATGAAATCTCGAACAGTCCGAAAGGCATTGTTCTACGGATCGTATTCTAGACTGTCTTCAGTAATGATGGACGAATATTCGTACAAAAAAAGACAATAATCTCTTTTCTCTTTTGCATAACTGCAACCCTGCCAAAACGTTTTATGAATCAAGTAAAATGTATTATCATTTTAGTGCAAAATTATCACAAGTTCGTATCGTCTTTGGGCAGAAAATGGTGAATATTGTGTTGTATGAAATTATGTAAGGAGTCACAATAAAACATTGTTAGAGACTTTTGTCTTTTTTTTATCGTAACCTTGCAAGTAGCAAAACAGTCGTAATATGGCGTCAGCTAGAAACAAAAATTACACATAATTCTTTACTAGTAAAGTTTATTTCAAATAATATCTACATCTCATATCAACAATGCAATAATTGAAATTTCTTTGTAAGACTAGAATACATATATAAATAATAAAACTACAAAATGTATGCTATATAAAAAGAATCTTAAACAAAATGTAAAGAAAAAAAATATATTTTAATATTTAAATGCAAGGAGGACACATTACCTGAAAAATAGTAATGTTGAAATAATAATAGGTCGCATAGTTTCATACATGCAATAGAGAAGGGTTTTCTTGAGATCTAATTCTAGATCTTTGTAGTGACCACCTTGGGCTGTCGCCCACTGGGGCAATATCTGAAGGGCGGCAAATTAAGTACCCTATTTTTCTATCCGATCAGTGCTTATCCCAAACAATGACAGACAGACAAGTGTTCACATGGCTCTACAGCATTCAGATATATATTAGTATAACCGCCGCAAGAGGCTACAGTTCTTACTCTAGAGTCGCGGCAAATTGGTCAGACCCGCATCCGACCCTGGACGAGCCCAGTTGCAAAGCAGTGGGCTATATGCAAGTTGATCAGGATCCAAATAAACCTTGTTTTGTATGTTAGACAATCAAAGCTTGTTATTTTTAATTATTATATTAAATTTATAGTCTGATTGTGTATCAAACACTAACGCGCAGACGTCACTCTCCGCGCATGAAATAGTCACGCATATCATTTACCTTTACCGCACCACTTTGCACACACTCGAGTATAGCAAGCAACAATCTCATTATTTTATGTTTCGCAGCAAATTCCAAAAGCTCACAAGCGTTCTGCGCCGTCAAACTGTTCACCAATTTGTCCACACACTTCTGTTCCAAATCTGGCATTATGTAATAGGAAGCTAACAACAAAAGCTGCTCCAATCCCGATTCGGGCAAAATGTGCAAATAAACGTAATCTTTGAGATGTTGCAAAGTAGCTTTCGATGTTCCTGCCACATCGACATGACCTTCGGTTGTTTCTCTCCAAGTGCCCCCAAACATTCTACGAAGTACAGGACTGGATGCAGCCAAAACTGCTTTGTGTATGCGGACGGATCCGTCTTCCCCACGCAACTCGATGTCCGTCAATTCCACATCACCGTGAAGAGTAGCGAAAGAACTCGAGTTTGGAAGTATGTCCATGTGAATGTCGACATCGAAAGTATACTGTTGCTTCTTATTATCATGCACTAAATGCCAAGTCCCATCGTCGCTGACGAAATTTTTGTCTACGACACCAAATTCGTTGCTCGAGAACTTAATTGAGTACGAAAGTTCGTCGTCTTGTCGTTGTTTTTGGAATTTGATGAAGATCAAGTTGTTGTAAATATTTGTGTGACCATTGTTCACTTGGGCAGCGATCACTTTGACCTGAAAGATGGCCGCACCACTGATAACGTATTCAGGGCTAGTTTTCGTCGCGAACGGTGTGTTATAGTTGGTGACAGCGAATTTCACTTGAAGCGTGTTCCCTCGTTGTACCAGATCCTTTTCTTCCATTCTGCGAATAAAACAAATTTTTGATTTCGATTGTTGGTACAAAAAATATTAAGGATAAAATGTTAAAACAGTGAACTGTAAAAAGCACAATAGCGAAAGAGACAATTTGATAAATAAGACAAGATCAAAGTGTCAAAAGCGTAATCGCTTCTTGAATAATTTCAAGAAGCGTCAATGAGATCGCACTACACTAAACTACTACAGAATTTACATTTAACCTGTACATAACAAAAATTACAAATAAGATTTGTACTCTCGACGCCCTGTTATGGAATTTGAAAGAAGTAATTTATTTCCAAAATTCGCTACGCTGAAGCCGAAAGGGCTCACGACCAGTGCATTGGCACGCATACAGGTAATATGAATTAGAACCGAGTACTCCCATAAGACGGCCACTGACATTGGGGTAGCTCCCGCAAAAGGCATTGTGATGAATCTGAGCAGCTTAGTCTACAATTAGGCGCCGCGCAAACGTGTGTCATGTGTTGCTTTCAAGCAACCGGCAACTAGAAGCAAAAATATCTATTTAAACGACAGTGTTCGACTGCCGCAACCGGTGACTGTGTCGACTTCATATTCATTCTACGAAAATAGAATATTCGCTTCTAGTTGCCCGTTTCATGTATCCAACACATGTTTACGCGGCGCCAAATATTTTCGTGCTCCTAGGCACTAGGAGTGTATAGTAGGAGTACGCCCCCGAAGGGGTCATGTGCTCCTACTATATACTCCTACTACTAGGGGCTCGAAGACATTATTGTCCTGATTCTCATACACACACATTTGCTTATTCCCTGTCGTGACCACTGGCGACAAACGGGGAAAAACCCCATACGTTACCAGGTGGTGACAAAAGGTATAAAAAAAAATCTGTTGTTGCCAGTGCAGTGGTGACAAATTTAAGAATTAAATTAAAAAATCCTTGTAGTTGACACTAACAAAAGGGATTTAAAATTCGAGTTTCATGATAAAAATACAGAATTACAGTTTAATGTTAAGAATAAAGATCTGTATTTCTATCATTAAACTCGAATTTTATTTTATTCCCGTTCGATGGCGGCAATAAACAAGGACTCTTCAGTGCCCACTGGGGGTGCGGCAGGGGCCACTTTGGGAAACTTAGAGCATAGTCAGAAAAATTCAACTGACAAAATATGTAGGAGTTGGTAGCTAAACTTTATGCTAATCTCGTAATATTTGATATAAAAATAACGTTATTACTAAGTATGCTAGAGCATACTCTTTTGCTTTTTTTTTACTCCTCGATATATCGGTATTGTAGGTAAACAGAAGATCCACCAGTTAGCTGAGGTTAGTTCCACCTGAGGAGTATATGTATACATTGTCCCCTTACAAAAATTATTTTAATGATGAAAAGTACTTTGAATAACACCTTGAGAGAGAATGTTCGACCAAAAGGTTGGTTCATAATTTGTAAGTGGTAAATGAAATCATGGCAGACCAACATATAATGTCTACTATTACTCAACACATCTTTGGACACAAACTTACGTTTTCGTTTCGCTACACTCCTTTTATGGACAGCAATTTGTAGAGTGTGGAAACAGACCACATCCTTTTTCTATTGTACCCGAATAATAATAATACTAATAACGCACACACTCAACATAACCCCGCACCAGGGAAACTGTCGCGGGTGCCATGGACACACACATAGACAACCACAAATCACATCCAAACTCACGAGAGAAATAAATGCAGGTCGTACAAATATTTCTCCCGGCCCGGGAATCGAACCTGGGACCTCTGCGTGGCAGTCCGGCATGGTAATCGTTGGGCCATAGAGGCAGTTTAGAATAGACCGCTTCTTCCTACAACAACTCCTTTGTTACTTATTTGTGTACCTCCTAATGTAAACTCCGTAACATTATAATTTTTTACATTAATATATTAATAAATATAATGATATAATTTTGTTTATATAATAATATTAAGTGACGGGACGAACAAGTCGTGCGCCTAACGGTACGCTACACGCTTGTCCACAACAGTTGCAGTGCCACTCCCAAGCTTAAATCGCAAAGATCTGAGGGGCACTGCCACTGCGCCTGTCACCCTGAGACATAAGTTGACAAGTCCCATGTGCCTGTAATTTCACCAGCACCCTTACCCTGCAAAACTGGAACACAGTAATGCTGACATTACTGCTTGGTGGCAGATATAGGTAAAGTAGCAGTACTTCCCTGGACGAACTCTGTCACAAGGAGCTCTACTGCTATTTATTTATTTAATAGATAATGTTACTCATATAAATTATATAACATATCAATTCCATCTTGATTCTTCTGATAATGTTTCTTTCCTTTTTGGTTTCTCTTCCGGCTTTGGCATTGGCACAAAGTAATCTAGAGCCATTCATATGAAAACTAAAAGGATACTGGCAACCCATTATTGTAGCTATTAATAATATATATATTCTGGCTTCCATCTTCTAACAATACACTTTAAAACATTTGGTATAAAAATGCTGATAATATTTACAACTTTAACTGTTATTGTATATTATATAACATATATTATATGACAAAATATGCATTTGTTCAGTTTGGGCCAACCAGCAGCTTTTACTTTGGGGAGCCCTGCTCAAATCATAAAAATATATACAGAAATGAATGACGCCCTCATAGTAAAAGTTGTTCTTATTGGTAATAGAATCACTGCCTAAAATATAGTGAATAAACAATGCCACTAGTACTGCACAACAATAACACCAGTATCTTTATACAAGCCCATAGGACTTATTATTATTTTTTATTATTAGGGTGGCTTCAATTAGGGCCTATACAACGCCTCATTACTTACCATTACCATTACTTACCATTGACTGATCTATTGGAATCACCACTAATTACACCTAAGGAATAATTCTTATCAAAGGTAATTATAAAATTATGATAAAGTTCTTTGTGCAAGCACCTAATCTTTTTAAGCACAACTGAGTAAAAATATAACCATTAAAATATGACAAAGACTTTTATAAAAAGGGATGACTGCAACTACAGTAAATCATTTAATAAAATAAGTTTACAAAGGATGCTGGATATGGGAAGCTCATTACATATTACTCCAATTACTTTAAAATCAGTGTCTACTAACATAATCCACTAGGTACCTATCTTTTCAAATTCAAAACAAATAAACAACAAACTTAAGTAAGGTGCTGTTGTGATGTTGGACCATAATAATGTTTAACAGTTTAAGGTCTGTAAACATAGCCACACACTAAAGTACACAAACTGCGCTCAATTCGTTCGGGCTAAGTTCAATATGAATTGAAACTTTTTTTAAGTCTAAATTTGTTTTTTCAAACAAATGAACTTTACGGTTTTACGAGTCAGCCGCGACCATAGGATCTGTAAAGGGCTCGAAACGTTGGTTTCTTTGAAAAAACAAATATAAGTACGCTATTTAGATCCGAAATAATAGTTTCATTTCCAATTTGCAACAATCGTGGAAACCTAACAATTCTACTTCAATTTTAAAAAGTATCCTATTGCGCAGTATGCAATTGATAAGGTCAAGGCAACTCAGGAAGTGTAGTTGAGCAGTGGCAAAAATAAAATCTACAAAAATTTATTGAAACAAAGGGCTACCTAGGAAAACAAAACAATGGAAATTATTTTTACGCTCTTACCTTTCGATCCTGGATTGGTATATAAATTTATACCTCGCTTTACGATTTTTATTTATGTTATTGTGAAAAAGAAAAAAAAACGTAAATTTTTTCAGGTACGGGACAATTCAATTTTAGGTTTACAGCGAATCCACTCCTTAGATGATTTGTTGACAAACAACGTCGCAAATCGCAACATTGCATTTGTTTTTTTTTATTCATTGAGCGTTGAGCCACAGATTACAGGTTGAGCGCAGGCTACGGGGTATTGCTAAAAATTTACTTTCTATAATATCGATTTAATCACACAATACACCGATCGAGCTTGAGAGCCACATTCAAGTCTTACTCATTAGTTGTACGTTTATGATAGCCGATGATATGTGATGATGTTTTACCATGGCTCATGGTGTTTTACCATCCTCTAAGTTTTATGCACGAACACTATAGGGTCGTATTCTAGAAATCTACTCAATACTCAAGTCAGGATTTGAGTATGGTTTAAAGCACTCGAAATCATACTCAAGTCCCAGCCGTTAGGGTCGTATTTTCAGTGCTTGTATTTCCAGTGCAATCCTGACTTGAGCATTGAGTAGAGTTTTATAGAATACGACCCTAAGGTATAACACAAATAAAAAGTAATTTTAATTAAATTGTGAACCGACCTCAAAAGTTTGCTTATTGGCTTTTATATAGAAATTATGCATATTTACTCATTTTATTGAAATCAGTTAAAGAAAAATGCGTGAAATCGGATTCATGCCCTAGTTTGCCATCCTTAAAGGATTCGTCCTTATTATTATTATTGGTTCCATTTAAATTAGAAGAAAATATTCGTATTTTCTTCTAATTTAAATGGAACCAATACTGATTTCCTCTCTTTCCAACAAAAAAAACCATTAAAATCGGTTCACAAAAAACAAAGAGTAATCGTGTAACATACACACACACAAAAACAGTCGAATTGAGAATCTCCTGCTTTTTGAAGTCGGTTAAAAATATGTTTAAGTAATATAGTCGTCGTGGTCGTCACAATAAAAGGCGATTAATAACCAATTAATCACCAACTTCAACAAGTCAACTCAATTTTACTTAGAAATCATACTGACTATTTAATTTTCGAATTTTGACTTTGACAAAGATTGTACAATACAATATGGTAATATGAATGAAAATAAAATATTATTACACTTAGGTACTTTGATACAATGAAAGTGAATAAAAATTTAAATTATGAAGTCTTTTTTGTTTTCCATCATAAGTCCTTGTGAACTCTGTTAATGTCTACACTTCAATAACAGTTACAGGTTGTCATTGTGATCATTTAAAATACTTAGGTTATTATTTATATTAACTCTATATTGCATAAATGATTGTTAATTATTCTATCTAGAACTTAAAACCTGTGACCCGAAAAATAATTTAAACGATCATAGGACTCATAAAACTTCGAATCGATTTCTCATGAGAATCGTCTAATATGGTTACCGATAGTTTTAGTCTACGTCCCTGTTAAGTTATGAGTACAGTTTTTACAGAGATTATTTTAATTTTAAGTATATTATGAAGAAAAAACGAAGAAAGAAGTAGTGATGAAGAAGCCAGAACTATATTCCTTATTTTAAACCAAATTACAAAAGACTTTATCCTGAAAATTCCACTAATTACGAATTCAATGCTTTTGTTCAAAGTGATTGAAGATAATATGATTTAAGTGAAAGTAAAACATAAACATTGACTCCCGCCGCTTAAAAGACTATTTAAAAAACCCAAGCAAGTGAACTAAGTTATTTAAGAGAAAGTGAAAATGGTATTAGAATTACAATTTTAATGGAAAATATTGTTGAGCATCTCGATAATGAAACGTAGAAATGGCTCAATAGACACGTATCCAAGCCGAAACTATTAATAAAAAAAAATATTTATGGAAAAAAAATGGGGGCTTTTGAACTGAGTACAGTTTAAAGATTAATTTTATTTTAAGTATATTATGAAGAACATACAAAGAAAGAAATAGTGATGAAGAAAGTTAGAATTATATTCCATTTAAACTTAATTACAAAATAGTTTACCCTGAAAATTCCAATAATTACGAATTCAAAGTTTTTGTACAAAGGTACAAAGGGACAAATATAATGTGATTTAAGTGAAAGTGAAAACATAAATATTGACTCCCGCCGCTTAAAAGACTAGAGAACCAAGTTATTTCGGATAAATTGAAAACATAATGTATAACCACAATGGAAAATATTTAATGAGGATCCCGATTATTAAACGAAGTCATGGCTCAAAGAACTTATATCCATACCAAAACTCTTAATAAAAAAAAAATGTGCATCAGCCGATGTATATGTATGTAAATAACCTGAAACATAGTACATACTTAAAATAAGTTCTGAAAATTATAGAATATAGCTAGGTATCAGTTTTTTAGTGGTTATTTTGCAAGTTTTAATGAAAAGAATGGCGTCTTTAAGAAAATACATAGGTGACTTTGTTCGTAAATTACGAAAATGGTACTTACATATGGTAAACACTCATGGTTGAGTTTTAATTGCAATACTTAATCCACTCTTCAGATATTGGTGCTAATCTCACCGATGAAATGTATCAGGGTGTGTATCATGGTTCAAAGAAACATGAACCTGATCTGGACAAAGTTATGCGCCGCGCGTGGGACAATGGTATGGATAAAATGATTATAACTGGAGGAAGTTTAAATGACAGCAAAAAAGCAATTGATTTGGCCAACAGTGACTGTAAGTTTTTGTATTTGAAATGCTGTGGTTTGTACTGAATTGAGCAGTTGAGTCATTTATGTTTTTTTTCTCTAGAAAATAAAAATAATTGACACTATAGTCACAAAGATGAAAGAATGTTCTTAAATTTGTATTGAATTGATATTCAATTATTTGTTGGGAAATTATTCCACTAGTTTGTTATAATTATTAATACAAAGATTGAACACTTAGAAAAAAGTTCTTTAATCTGGCCAGATTCAAATGGATGTGTCCTAGCAAACTGTGCTACACACTGCCTACTAAACCACGGAACAAACCAACGGACGTCACGAATTTCGCTATGTGGTTGTTGTAGGATCTTTGTATTTTTGGTATTTCAATGACTTTTTAGCCGTAGCGCCATCTATAAAAAATATATGAAATAATTTTGTTACCCAGTTAGGTAACTTTACAGCTACCAGCTCTGGCTAGAGATGTCGCTATTAACTGTATTCAAACTGTTAAGAATGTTCTTATACAATGATAGATAAATAATAATTATATAGTGCTGTCTTATTTATACGTATATTGATTTACATGTGTGTAGAGGGTAAGTGGGTCGGTTTCACTTTACTTTTTTGAAATGAAATGTTGGAATAGTCTTAAAATTTTAAACTTACATGGTATTATTGAATTCAATATAATACTTACCTATACTTAATTTAGTATATATTTGTTTTATTTAGTTTAATTTAATGTCTAATTTTAAAGAGTATTGGTACAACAATCTAGAGATCAAAGATAATTTAATTTAATTTGATATTCGATTTTTTGGTTGTTATTGTTTATATGTTACAAATTATTCTGTTATTTGTTGTTATTTCAGTTTTAATTTCATTTCAAGTATTTCAAACATTGCAAAACAATAATTCACAAAATTTATATGATGTGTAATGAATAATTCAGAAAATATTATTAACTTGTATAATAAACAATATAATATTATGTGTACATAATACAGCTTTTCAGAGCAATGTACATACATTTCAGCAAGACTCTTTGCAACTGCAGGATGTCATCCAACACGATGTACGGAATTTGTAGCAGACCCTGATAATTATCTCAATGCACTAAGAGCACTTATAAAGGAGAACCATGACAAAGTTGTTGCAATAGGAGAGTGCGGTCTAGATTATGACAGGCTGCAGTTTTGTGATAAGGAGGTACAATTAAAGTAAGTGTATGTACATGTATCATCTCTGTGTTTTAACATCAGGAAATCCCTTCCAGCTGTTTGCTCAAAATGTCATTGAGTACTCTTCAATATATTGTTCGACACTCAAAAATCCTTTTTTCCAAAATGACTGATTTTGTAGATGTCTTTGTTTTTAAATGTGTCAGCCAAAAATATTAGACAACTTATTAGACAAATCTGTAGCATAATATTTTCCATTTCTGGCTACAGTTATTTTGTGTCAAATACATATCTTCCGTGTTACTAAAAATATAATTCGATCTAAAAAAAAAAAAAGGTTTTCACAATTGTTACACATTGGAAATGAAACCATTTTTCTGATAATTCGTTAGTTTTTTGTTTGTTTTTGTGTTTCGTTAGTTTCGTGATACGTCGTCGTATGTTCAAGACTGCGGTTATTCAAACTATAAGAGTAAAAAATAGTTTTATAGACCTTGCGTGAAAAAGTCCTTAAATACATTTGTAGGGGTTAAGGTTATTGTTCAGACAGTCATCATCCAGACGCGATAGCAATAGCGCATTAGCGTCATTAACAGAAGTGATTTTGGCATACATTTTCATGTCATCAGCAAAACTATGTAAATTGGAAAAACGGAAACAATTACCAATGTCTGTTATAATTATTAATACAAAGATCAAACACTTAAATTTTGAAAATCTTTGTATTAATAATTATAACAAACTAGTGGAGTAATTTCCCAAAAAATAATTTAATATCAATTTAATTCCAAATTAATAAAATGTCATTACAAATATATTAAAAAGGTGTGGCTCTAACTATGTATGAACCTTGAGGAACACCATTAAGTATGGTTACCCAACTTATTTAATTATGTCCTACTTTAATTATTAATGCGTTCCTTATTTAATTTTAAATTAATTACGTAATTATTACGTATTTGATTATTACCTATTTTAATTAATTACATTATCAATTCATCACATATTTAATTACATGACTTATTAAATAAATTGGTACTTTGAATAATACAAAATAATTAAGGGTTTAATTGAATAATAAAATTAGTTGAAAACATGATAATTAAAAATTTAATTAATTAAAAAACGGGTATTTAATTACAAAATATTATGTAATTTAATAAATAATTAATGATGTAATTTTTTTTTAATACTAACGCACACACTCAATATAGCCCCGCACTAGGGAAACCCTGTGTCGCGGGTGACATGGATACACATATAGACAACCACAAATTACACCCAAACTCACGAGAGAAATAAATGTAGGCCATATAAATATTTCTCCCGGCCCGGGAATCGAACCTGGGAACTCTGTGTGTGGCAATCTGGCATGGTAACAGATTGGCCACAGAGGCAATTAAATTACTTAAAAAATTAAATAAGAACTTTTAATAGTATAATAAAGTTTTTAATTAAATAATTAAAAACGTGATTAATTATTAGTGTAATTAATTAAATAGAAGAGCGTGCTCTAAGGTGAATCTGCGCGAGTACACGCTGAACTAAAACTATTTTTTTCGGATTTTTTCAATCAAACCAATGTTTCGGGCCATTAACATGTTACGAAAAATATTTGTTATGGAAAATTTTCCTTGACCCAACTAAGAATATCTGAATTTTTACATAATAATTTACAAAATATGTTTACATGATTGCGTTACAGATATTTCGAGTTTCAACTAAAGCTGAGTCGTGAATTCAACCTTCCACTATTTCTTCACTGCCGCGCGGCTGCTGATGACTTAGTAGATATACTGCAGAGAAACAAAGAAGACATTGTTGGAGGTGTGGTTCATTCATTCGATGGAACCATAGAGGCATTGGAAAAGATTCTTGCTTTAGATCTATATATTGGAATCAATGGATGGTTAGTATGTTG